TTTGCAGTCATTTGAAATGTATTTTTCTCTTATTCCTGTTTCCTAAGAATTTGCGTCCCTATGAGCTTTGAGATGGTGATGCTTATTTCAAGATCTGTTTTCTGTGTAACATTTGCTAATCTTCCTTCTAGATGCAAAACTAAGAGGGGCTGCAGATACAGCCTTGATTGTTAGGGGAGTCAGGCTTTGTTCTTTAATTCCCCATTTAGTGCTGCTGTCCTTGGGAAGTTGTTTCACATGGCAGTGCCACCCACCACATCTGCTTCCTTTCCAAGGCCCATATAGTGAAAGCTCCTGCCAGTAAAATCTTGAACTGACTGACAAAAAGCACTCAAGATTCTGACTGTGTTGGCAAGGTGGGAGTAAAGCAGAAGGGGACACGTGACAGATGTGAGGTATCAGAAAGTCTTGTCCCCAGAAAGCAGCTGCCACATTGGGGAGACAGTGGAGCTGAGGAACTCCCATCTCAGCTGGAGCAGATCCCAGCCTCTCCCTGCAATCCAAGCCAAGCAGCTGGGCTCTACTCTGAGATTTTGCCACAACTGCATCAAAGCTAATGAACAACCAATGGCTTGGTTTTATCTGCCTTGAGACCCCGAAGGTTTGTGTTTTCCAAACCAGTGCTTCCACAAGTTGAGCAGTTACTGGAATCTCACCTGCTGCATCCCAAACTAACAAGATCCATACTACATCAAAGCTGTTTCACACTGTAAAGGTAACCTCTGTGCTCACTGCTCACAGACCCTCAGCAAGCTGTACCTCAACCCAAATCAGGATAAAAAGATTTTCCCAGCAATAAGGAGATAAGTGGAACCAGGCCAGACTGTCAGAAAAGCTCAGCTTGCTGAAATCTGTCACCTATCCCAGGGGAAAGAGGGAACTCTAACTGGACTGTTGTAGAAAGCCTCATGAAAGATTTTGAGTCAGGCCACCAGCAAGGAAAATGCCTAAGGCAGCACATTAAAAGGAATAATACCCCTGTTAGAGTAACATGAGCTTTGCCTACAAGCTTCAGTGTCTTCAAGATTTTGTGAGCCAAAAAATAACATTTTCCCTTCTGTAAGAAGCAAAGAGGGAAAAGTATCCTCTGAGTACCAGAGCACAATCAAACAGTTCCTGTAACTGGAAGTCTGAAACTAGTTTGGGCCTTGTTTTCCCTAACTGAAACTGAGTAACTAACTGAAGGCATAATGCATGACCTGAAAATGTTTTTTGGTGGCAAGGATTTAACTGGTGCCATAGATCCAGAGCTGAGGACAGAACAGGAGAGTTGCCCAGAGACATCACATCAATGTTCTGCAAAGGAAGGGAGGGCAAAGTGGCAGATTTTTTATGAGGGTTTAATGTAAAAGGGGAAGTTGGATACTCTGAAATGCTTGACTGCTCCAGGGATGCCTCTCAGGCCTTCCAGCTTTGCTGGAAACTTCAGGAAACTTCAACTCCACACAAAATTATACAGCCAATGACTAACCCTGCTCAGAAAACCAGAATGGGGTTCTATTTTTCAAATGAAAGTCCAGCTGGAGAGAAGTTCACAGCATGTAAGGATATTGCAGAGGGGCTCCTTGTGCTCAGTAGCTGTTGGCCCACTCAGACTCTTCATGTTTTCGCTACTACATTTCCTTTAATATTCCAAAGCTTGGCAAGCAGAGCACGAACACGACTCAGTAGGTCCCTGCAGAGACTGCCAACAAAGGAATCCTCTACCTGAACTGTGTGTGGTTTCCTTCCTGGCTGGAGGCTGCCCTGTCCTCCAGTGGCCCTTGTCAGTGACCCAGCAGTGCCAGGTCTCCATGTTCTCTGGAGCAGATAAGAGCAAATGGGTGAGCAACTTCCCACCAGTGCTTCCATTTTACAAGATCTGTGGGAGGAATTGCTCATAAGGATTGGCATCTACTTGGGTGGTATTTAACACCCAGACGCACCAGACTTTCTCATCTAGTCCAAGCCAAGAAAGTTTAACACTGGTACTTGTGGCAATCAGAACACTGCAGATAATTCATCTGCACCACGGCTGCTGTTTCCCTGCACTTTCCTACTGAAACGATTCTCTTCAGCGCTGAATCCTACCCGGCTTGTCACCTTGGCTGGGCTTCTGCTGCTGGTCTCTGCAAAAGATGAGTGGGAAGAAAAGTCTTGGAGTTGTGAGTCAATTCCCTCTCATTACCTGAAGAAGGCAATTTATTACCAGTACGGCAAGAGCTAGAGGGCTCTGCAGTCAGGGACTATCCATAGAAAAGACATTTCCTTGAGACTGTTTAGGGAGGAGTCTGCCACAGCTCAGGTGTTAGAGGACAGCTTGTGCTGGAAAAAGAGAATTAAAAGTAGGGAAACAGCTGGTCTCCATGACAACCATGTATGAGTATGAAGCACAGAGGGCAACAGTCATCAGGAATGGATGAAAAGCAGCATGAGGGCTGAAGGAGAAGAGAGCACTTAAGGAATGAGGGAGATACTCTGCTGAACTGAAACACTCCTGCTTTAGCAGACTGTTTTGATTTAATATAATTGTCAGTGATTCTCTCTGTAACTGTTTTCTTGTTTTAAAAAGGTTTTTAAGCTAACTAAATATGTATTTCCTTGTTTTGCAATGAAAATACCCTCAGTTATAATGAGCAAGCGTCTCCTTTTACTCTGTCCATGGACCTGCCTGATGCTGAGGCCTGGTTCAAATGTTTGTACCTGGTGAAACTGAGAAAAAAAAAAATCAAAATGCACAACTGTTGCTTCTTTACAATTCTGAATGAATTAACTTTTCTGTTGTATCCATTGGATACCCACAGTGTATTAAACCTAGTGCTCAAGAGTGTCTTCTTCCTTTGTTCTATGAATGTAGTTTATTTAGGTACATTACTGGTCCATTTGCTGTCATATATTTAATTAAAAATGAAAGGAACTGCCATGTGTTGATGATGCTGTTGAGTGCCCTTGCCTTTCATCACTCCAAAAGACACAATACTGCTTGTCAGCAGAAGAAAGCCTTGGAGAACGAGAGCATTGTTAGGAAATTGTGTGAGAGGAGAAAAAAATCAGGACAACATTTGAATGTCCAGATTGCTTTGAACTCTGTAACATATGTGCAGCTTACACTCCACAGCCTGCTATTTGTAAGGGGCAGGATCTGAGCACTTAAGAAAAGCCAATCTGCTTTAAGGCCAGCCTGCCTTTCTTCTTAAGACCTTGGTCCTGGAAGGGCTCAGTGCCAGTTAATTCAGGGGTCACTATGGAGTCTGTAAAGGAGCAAGGTGAACAGGATGGGAGGAGCATTTGTGTGAAACTGAACTGCCTCTGAAAACATGAAGTGTTGCAAGAGTACAGAGAGATACCTTAGCCTTCCAGCAGCATGGAATTCTGAGCTGGAATGCCATAGGAACCAAGATTCTCCACTCAGAAACCTACTAGAAGAGACTTTCTGTAACTAAGCCTAATTTCAACCAGTCACTGAGGCTGGAACCCTTGAGACAAGAGATAAGCTCTGATCTCTGCAAGAAAGGTTTTAAAGCTGAAGGAGAAGATAAAAAGAGTAACATGCACCAACTTATTTTAATCACAAAAAGAGTGAAAATACATTCCTTAAGACAGATTATTCTAGGACATCAAAATGTTTCTGCTTTTGAGTGGATAATATTATTGCTGCTCAAATTGCTTTCATTAAGCTTTAAAATTTACACCTCTCTGTGAAGAAGGAAAGACACAACCTCCTTTTTCCAAGCACCAGTACAGCTTGAGGTGTCTGAGGGAAGAGAACCATTTACCTAGAATTAAAAGAGAAAAAAGCCCAAACAAGAGTTTGAGTGATTGCTGGAAATTTAGACTACAATTTTTATTAACATTTCAACCCAGCTGTCTCAGGTAAACCATTTAAGTGGCCCACACAACCAGGTACTTTCCTGACACCAGCAGGTGACCACTGACTCATGTGAAGAGACTAAAATAATCAATTTGTGGGCAAACAATACTAAGGAATCCACTACCAGGTGCTGGAGAGTAAATTTATAAAGAATATATTTCTTTCCAAATTTTTATTGGGAAAGAAGGTAACAAAAGCTGCAAGGTATATCTGTGTTAAAACTGAAAGGAGTTTAAAGAGAAAGCACTGATTATGGAACTTCTACAGGTCTGTTATGACATTCATCTCCTTTAGACATTCAAGGTGTACATAAATATGTGCTATAGTCACCTCGGTGCTTTTTTTTATTGTTAGCAAGAGACAAAAACGCATCTCAGGTGCAATTCAATTGTTTCTGCTGTCTGTTCCATATAAAAGTCTACATATACCTGCTTCCCTCGGCGGCCCTCAGGAGGGTTCAGTGACCTCGCCCAGACAGGAGCCTCCTGACTGCAGACATCTCAGCCAGATCAAATCCCTCCTCGAGTTATGTGAGACATTCTCCAGGCTCTCTTTGGTTAATGGGGCCGTGTAGCTGCTTCCAGACGGGCACAGCCTCTCTGCGCTTCTTCCCGGGGGCTGGAAACGAACACATGGAATAACCACGTTAGGGAGAGCAGGGTTAACGCAGTGCAGCACCTTGGGAACCAGCCCGAGGAGCCTTTGAACAGCACCCGCTGTCCGAGCGATCACCGCCAGACCCTTCCATAGCTCTGTACACCCAGCAGTGTCAGCCCCGCTGTACCGGAGGTTCTGAGCAGTTTGCCCAGCCCCGCGCTCCAGAGCCCGGGCTGAGGGCGAGCGGACACAGGGGATGGCTCAGGGCAAACACATTCCCCAGGAAAGGCCCCGCAGGGCCGGTTCGCAGGACACAACAACGCCGGGCCCTCTGGGCGACAAAAGGAGCCAGGTGACGCCGGTTCACGACGAGCCCGACACAGCAGAATCCAGGCCCACTCAGGGCAGTGGAAGGAGCCCAACATCGCAGCGGAGCCACCCCCGCAGGGCTGGGCCGCCCTGGCCCCGCCTCGGGGCGCTGCCCGTGTCCCGTCCGGCCCTGCCAGCGCTGCCCGGAGGCCTTCCGGGCCGGCCGAGCCCCGAGCCGGGGAAGCCGGGGGGCCATGGGCCCCGGCGGGCGCTGGGTGCGGGCGGCACACACGGCCCTCAGCGCGGCCCTGGTGCTCGGGCTCCTCCTGCACCGCACGGGTGAGGCAGGGCCCGGCCGGGCCGCGGGGAGGGGGTGTCCGGGGAGGGCCGGGGCCGCTCCGCCCCCGGGGGCAGGCGGAGCACGGTGGCCGAGGACGGGGATGGCGGCTGGCCCGTGCGGCCCCTGCGGGACATGGGCTGTCTGCGCCCGGCCACGGCCCGGGGGTGCCCCGAGGGCAGGGGGGTCTGGGGAGCCCCTTCTCAGCCTCTCGCCCCTTCTCAGCCTCTCGCCCCTCGCCGTCTCTCCCTGTTTCCTCTTCATAGATTCGGGACCCCTTTGCCGGGGCCAGAGAGAAGAATCCGGGACGCTTAACAAGGAGCTGCTGCTCTGTCTTTGGGTACCTTTCAGATCTGCAAAAGCAAGAGGAGCGCGGGGAGCTTCTTCAGCCGCTGATCTTCGTTTTGCTGGTGTTATGCTCGGTCCTGCTGTACTTCAAGGTGTCTCTTATGGATCCGGGTTTTGTTAAGCCTGAAGAAGAAGTGAAGGTAAATCCCTTCGTGAATAGAAGAAAGTGGAGTAGATGTAAAGTCTATAGGCTTTTCTACTTTTTCCACTCTAGTAGGTAAGAACAATCTGAAACAGTTTCTGTTGTGCTGGCATGAAGGACACATGCACATACTGTTGCGAGATGAGGACACTGTCTCATACTGGTATTTTGTAACAGCAATATGGTTTACAGGCTTTAAATGTGCCTTTCACACCACACTGCCCTTGTAACTATGCCTTTGAGCCCAAGGCTTCTCCTAGAGCAGAGGCTGCAGTGCCGTGTGGAACGTATACATGACCTATTTTACAATAACCGCTGCTAAATGGTACAAGTTCAAAAAAAGGCCTGAGCTGAAGGGCAGGCTTAGCAGACAGTGCTCTCTGCAGCTCTATTTATTGAACTCTTTATGGATTTGTTGCCCTCTCAAAGGACACACCCACAAACAAGTTACAGTGAAATAAATGGAGATGCAAAGTTTCAGTGACTGATAGTCCGCTCAGGGTTCACTGCCTTACAGACTCTGTAGGACAATCTTAGTTATCCGTCATTCATGTCAGTGTTGGCTGTGTATGACTAGCACTGCTCATACTGAAAAGACATTGTTATTGTGTTTAGAAGTGTCCCAGAGTGTATCCTGTCCACAGTTATTTCTGCCTCTGTGCAAACATTCTTAGGAGGGTTACAGTAATATGTTCTCTCTCACTGTACCATAACTGTCTACAACTTCTGTAGGAATTATAAGGAATTATTTTGTTCCTAATGATAGAGATAACAAGCACTGTGTAACTGTGAAGTAAAAAGATGGCAGCAAGACTGCTCAGTCATTCCCAGACAGTAACCCAAGAACCCTCCTCTGTCTCCTCTTTCTCTTTTTTTGTAGGAAGGTGAAGATAAAGGAGAAGGTGTGGTGATCCCTCAGATTCCTGGTGACATTAAGCTGCGGCGCTGTGGTTACTGTCTGGTGAAGGTGGGCATCCAGAATATGCTGGAAGAGGAAGGGATGAGTGATTTGAAAGCTTATATTGTTTTTCAGCTGCTGTTGGTGTTCTGCAGTTGCTGCTCAGAGGAGGCTGGGCAGACTGTGTAGCTACACAAGTAGTAGTGATGAACACAGGCACACAGGCCAGTTTTCCAAGGCTGAAACAAATCCCTGCTGGCTTATAGAAAAAACAATCTCTTTTTGCCATGAGAAAACTGTATTCCACATTCTTACTGCCATGTCAGCCTGACCTCGTGGTACTGTTAAAGAAGTTATTTTGAAAATACCTTGATAGTCAGAAAGGCAGTAGAGTATGACATGTAGGAACTGCTCATTGTCGTGAACTTGTTCAGAGGCCTTAAAACAACAAAACATTGGCCTGAATGGCAAAAGACAGCATGAAGGAGAAATTACAGCAATTAAATTAGCTCTTAAAACAGTTTACCTTAAGCCTAGAAAGGCTTGTTTTCAGAGTGATCCTTATCAGTTTAATGAAATTAAGCATTACCCCACCTCCCAGAAATTCCTGAAGAATATTGATCAGGAGGAACGAGCGGATTGCAAGAGGAAAAGCTGGCAAAGCATTTATACACTGCAGGGGACAAATCCTAGGAAGCACTACTTTTCTCAGCCAAGTCTTTCACCTTCTCTGTGCCTGGTAATTGAGCTATTTTCTGTGCAAGTGTCTTGTATTCATATGGAGGCACTTCTCTGTGCACCCCCAAAAAGCATCACATCCCTGCCCACTTTATTTGTAGTAGTGGTCCTAGTTTTTCGCCTCAATACTCTGGCTCATGCTTTCTTGACAACACTGATTGGCTTTGTCTCCCTCCTTGGCATGGTGGACTTCCTATAGATAATAAAGAAAATGTGTAGGTAGGAGGAGTGTGGGAAAGTCATTTGAATGCCACCCATTTGGGTCTTGACCAGGAGAATCACAATCCTTTTGATTTGTCTGAGCAGTGTTGATGTGCTGTTGTCTTACAAGCGAGTGTTTTAGGGACAATTTTGTGGAGAAAGACAGATTTGAATGATGTTCTCTTCTACCAAACAGGAGTGGGACAGTCATGAATTGTAGCCACTGGGTTTCTTCTTTTTCTGATTGTGTTTTGCAGCAACCCATGAGAGCCAAGCACTGCCAGCTGTGCCAGCACTGTGTGCGACGCTATGACCACCACTGCCCCTGGCTTGAGAACTGTGTAGGAGAAAGGAATCACCCACTCTTCATAGTCTACCTGAGCGTGCAGCTTGTGGTTCTGCTGTGGGGAGGCCATGTTGCTTGGTAAGGCTGGGAGATGGCATTTGGACCTCTGAGATTGCTGCAAGTTGTGGTGCTCCTTGGGCTGGCATAGAACACAGAAGTGGCAGGACTGGCTTTGGATCTTCACCCTCTTTTGCGTCCTGGAGCCTCCTAATCTTGAGCAGAATCTGATAATTTAAGTTTCATTGTTCATTTTGCTTCTGTACATTTTCGTACATTTGCACTGTAACAGGATCTTTGTTTACACATTCAAGTGCTGGAAACTCCAACAGGGTTCCAGCTGTTCAGGAGAGGAGTTAACCCAGGGTGATTGTGTTTCACAGCTGCCAGGGGAAACAGCATCTTCTAAACTTAGATTCCAATCAGGACTTCATAGTATATTAACTCTCTGTAGTCAAGGATTATCAGCAGCTCATTAGTTATGAATCAAACTTAAATGTGTCACCATGTTTGCTTAGTTTATGAAACTAGTTCTGCTTCTTTAACTGCAGATTTATTTCTGTTTGAATTGGAAGGTCAGGCCTCTACTTTGAACAATCTCAGAAGTGGCTGCAGCACAACATTTTCCTCCTTGTGTCCTTCCTTCTGATATTCATATTCACCATTGTGGTGCTGCTGCTGCTTGTTTCCCACCTGTACCTGATCTCATGCAACACCACGACCTGGGAGTTCATGTCGCACCACCGCATCTCCTACCTGCAGCACTCCGAGCTGGAGAACCCCTTTGACCAAGGGATAATCCTCAATCTCTGGAGATTCTTCTGCTCACGCCACCTCACTGCATGGGAGAATATCTATTTTCACAGGAACAGTGAGCCTGTCTAGTCCCAGTGTGCCAACACACCTGGCAGGCTGCTGGGTAAAGCTTTGCTAAAGCAATGGCTGCTGTTTCCTTGCACTGAACTTTACTACATCATGGACTATAGAACCTGCTCCACAACCTGTTCATCTGCAGATTATGTTTCAGGGATAGTCAGGGTTATTTTTTATATATAAATAACACTGTTAAAGGCAAGAATCCAGTTCTGGGAAGGACAAAGCCAGCAGAGCTGATTTCCAGACTGACCGAAGTACCTCTCTAAATTTATTTCCTTTTGTTAAGTGCATCCACTTCTCTCCAGAAGAAATGCAAGATTAGGGTGACTATTCATGTTCTCTTCTCCAAGGTCTCCCTTGCCTTTTGCTGCTAGGGAACGGCAGCAATTACAGATAAAACCAGCCAGGGTTGGTTTAATTCCTGTGGCCTTTTTTCAGCCAAGTTCTGGCTGTGAGAACTGCAGTGCCTTTTGGCAGTAGCATCAGGCATGTAACAGAAATATTTAAGTAAATATTTAGAGAGTAAAAAGCAAATTTTATTTTATCCACATGCCTCAATACTTTCAACAAAGACTTAAGGCTTAATAATGTTAATGGGAATGAGAAAGAGCTGTAAGACACCCAATTAATGTTATGAGATAATTAACCTGTATTTTGTGAGGCTCTGAGCAGCTTCCTCACAGCTTTTTAAGTTGATGATGCTGCTAACAATTCACTGTTTTGAATCAAATCAGTGAAGAATGATACCATTGTTTTTCTTTGGACAGAAAAGTAATCCTTGGCTTCTGAGTTATTTCTGCAGATAACATCATGCTCAGGCCTTTGTTGTAGCTTGGAGAGAAGCAGGAGCAGAGGTGGGTCCCTCTTGCCTAACTGAAGTAACACTTCGTAAAACTACTACTACCTCAACTCACTACTGACATTTTAATAATACAATTTCAATGTAAAAGCAAAGCTGTCAGGTCCTGGTTGATTAACTGAGATGAGAGATGCTGACACTTTTCAGGACAGCAGCAAGAGGACCTGTTTTCCATTGAAATAAAAGGTCTTACTTCAGATTTCCATGGGGAACTAAAAGGAAGTTTGGGATGACCGATCTTTGCTTTAAAACAAAAAAGGCTGTGGTGTGATTTTTAGTCCTGACCCTTTTCTGTTAAAACAAAAACAAACAAAACAAGAAAAACAACCACAACAAAATGTTAGTTAAAAATATCTTGTGCCTTAATTGTCTTGGCTCAGGAATTAACAGCAACTCAGAACCACAGACGGTGTAGTTACTAACACGGCACAACAGTCCTAAAGCAATTTAAATGCAGCAAAAGATGCTTTTTTTGACCAGCTCCAGAGTTTGTAGTGTGTGCACAGTCTGGTTTGTTCAAAGTAGCTTTATCAGAATGCTGAGGATTGTTTTTGAAAAGCTGCTACACCATTCAGAAGGATTCTGCAGTTTGCTTGTGTTGCTGTGATACCTGCTAAAGTGTGGATCATGTGTCACATTGCAATTCCTGGTTCTTCAGGTTATCAGTCAAGTGAAAGTTTATCAGCAGGTACAACAGCTCAAAGCAGTTTTGCTGTGTTTGGTATTTCTTTAAAATACACCTAGGTGATAAATTACCATTTTTTTTACTCAACTGTAAATTATAAAATAAAAGATTAAATATGCATTTTTAAATTCTCTATGACTCTTTGAACCCAAGTTCTAGGTTTCACCTGTGCTAACAATCCACTGTGCTACCTCCCACTGCACAGTGGTGTTGAACTAAAGCCACAAAACATACCACAGGGGCCAACAGCAGCTGCCACTCAAACAAGAGTGAGGAAAATGGGTATCCTGCTCTAAACAGGCCAGTGCACTGCCAGGGCGAGCAGAAGGTTGAAAGGATCTTTGTACATGGGAATTTTCAGAAGCAGCTATACTTGGCTCTGAAAATAGAAAATCTAGGCTCAGTGTGAAATATCCCTGGTTTACATAAACAGAGCTCTTACCTTACTGAATCCTGAAGCACTGGGACCTGTCTTGGCTTAACAATTCCCTAGATCCTTGTCTCCAGCTACAGGACAGCTGCCCTAGTCCCACTCCTGTCTTTGTCTGGTGAAGACAAACTGAAAGAGCAATGATTGTGTCCTTGCTTGCATCAGATGCCTTATCTCTAAAAACCCTTCCCTTTTCGCCCAATGAGCTAACATTATGAATTTAAGACATGAAAATGTATCTTATCAAGTACAATTACAAGATAGATTACAAGGCAATTAAATCACCTTTAACTCACTGATTTTCCAGCACTGACTGTCATTACTTAGCTGCCCCCAAAAATGGTACAGGATGTACACACTGATAAGATGTGTGGAGAGATAACCTGACTGCAGTCATTGGTATCTGACAGCTGATGACATCGTGCAATATGTACACAGACAACCTAAGTGAGAAGGAAGAAAGAAAGAAAATATTACTACTGGCATTTATGGAGAAAACTGAAGTCCTGTCTGTTGAGCATTTTGGTTGGCCCTGACCTGAAACATTTAGCTGACACAAAGGAGATAAAAAGCTGAACATTTATTATATGGAAAGGTATTTTATTTTCAAAAAAGAAAAAACATGTGCAAAGCTGTGGAGTTTGATATAATTAAAAACAATAGCTAAGAGTTGGCATCCTTAAGTAGAAAGATTCATCTTCCTTCTGATAAATCACTTGGATCATTATCAAAGATCATCACTTGGTAGTGTTAAATCCATTCCTTGTCTGGCATACACATTTTTATGAGTGGGAAATGGCATAAAATCATTACCAGGAGGGAATGCTGCATCTCCAGAAAATCAATGAGAAGTGGCCATTCCCCTGCTATGCTACAACTTTTAAAAGTCACACTACTTAGTTAGGCTTTTTGCAAAGAGTAACCTGGGCTGCAGAGATGATTTCATTTCATCAAGTCCAGCTTAAATTCCAAATTTCATCTACATTCAATGATAGAAGAAGATATACCAAATCAAACGTTAATTATTCCTTAAAGATAATTGACATCCAGGATTCTTCCAACAAATGAGGCTGGAAAACCCACAGCAGGTTAATTCAGCTTTCAGGGCACTTCATCTTGGAGCACTACCTGTACTACAAATCCTGTTGGCTTTTCCACCACTGGCCCTACAAAGTCTTCTCTATGCTCCCCCAAGGTGGTAACAATCACTTCATGTTTTTATAGCCCAGGAATCACACATCTAAAAGGTGTCTGGAAACAAAGTCAAAGTCCTTGAAGACAGTCTGCTCCTTACGGGTTAGGAGAGAAACCTCCTCAGGAGGAGTAAGGATTGGCTTTTGGGAAGTGAACTCTTCATCAAAGTTGCTGATGTCAGTTGGATCTCTTAATGTGGGCACAAAGGGGGGCTTCAGCCTCCTGGCAAACAAGGCATCCCAGTCAATTCCCTGTAAGAAAAGGAAGGCAACAGGCCAGATTGACACAATTATTTATAAAATGTGAAAGTTGGAGGGAGAATGCAGCCTCCCTTATGGATCATTTGCAACATGTCTTATTTCTACTAATTAAAAAAAAAAGAGAGAACTGAAAAAAGGCCCAAAACAAACAGCACAGGAGGTAGAGTGCAGAAGAGATTCCATGCAGTGTATTTTACAGCTACAACTGTACTTAGGAGAGACAAAACAACAGCTCAGCCGTAGCCAGGTGGATCTGTGGATCACAGCAATTTTTGCTGACATCCAAGTTCTTTTCTTGCTCTAGTGCAAAGCCAGACAAGGGTTACAAGGCTAAAAGCTTTTGGGTAGATGAGTAATAATGAGGAGGGATGGCAACACCTTTGCCTGGAACAGAAACATACCCCTGACACAAAGCAATTTAACTTACATTTCTCTTAAGAGTCGTGTATCCTGCAAATGCAGGTGATCAAATAGACTGACTGACAATCACTGTCATACTAGACAACATCTTTGATGCTGCAGATTTTAAAAGGAATATCTGTTCATGTACCTAAAGTTAAGTATATTTGTACATAGAAGCAGCACAATCAGAAATAAACTGGCTCTGGAAGCATGAAGATCCCAGAAAACAGACTTGGGGGATGTCATTTCAAGCAAGACTTGAAACACATATTCCTGAATGGAGCAATGAGGTGCAACAGAAGCTATCACTAAGATCTCCCTCATAACAAAGGGAAATAAGCCTCAACATCAACAGACACAAGAAATAAGGGAGAGGTATAAACCAAGTTCCTACCTTAAAAAAGGGCTGAATTTTAATCTCTTCTGCATCTTTTTCCCCTGCTCCCAGTCTACGCTCTGGACATTTCCGAAGCAGCTGCAGAAATATCAGTTCAAAATTAAACAATGGGAACAAGGATGAACAGAAATAATGTTCCAGAGAGAAAAACAAAAGAAAGGAGGTGGACTGATCCCTCAGTGCTTCCTCATTCTCACTTTGCACCAAGGTCATCATCTGCCAGGAATAACTCAGACCTAGTTCCTTGTAAACAATTCGCCAACAGCAATAAGATACCTGCCATAAACTGCATGGAGCACTCAGCTTAATTGTGTACCTGTGATTATGGGGGCACATTCAAAAAGTGAATCCAGCCATCTCCACTGAACGGCTCTGACATTCCCGCCCTTCAATCAACACTTCTCTGTGCCAGACTTAGCAGGAACAGTAAGCAGCCTGCTTAGTCATCCTTACACAGAGGAACTGCGTTTATGTAAAGAGAAGGAAGGGAAAATATGTGCAAATTTTAAATATTTCCTTAGCCTATGAAGGCAGCTCCAGATTACACTCACAAATGCTAAACTATCCTAATCAAGTCCCTCTGGATCCATTTACACAGTAAATGCAAATTCCTCGGCTCCCAGAGACCCATGAACCCTTTACCTTACGGATTATGGAAAGTGCTTCAGTTGAAAGGAATCGTGGATACCGGACTTCATCATTGACAATGCTGTCAAAGACTTCCTCCTCATCATCTCCAGGGAATGGTGACTGCAATTGGGACATTCTATTATTCAATCCACATAGCACCCATTTCTCACTATTAAATAAGCATGAAAATAGCAGGGAGTTGTATGGATTAATTAGTGTTTGGCAAGCACTATGAATGAGAAAAATGCAACTGAAGTACTAATAAATAGTTGGCTACATTTAGCAAAATTTTACCTCGAGTGGTCAGGTCCCCAAGCCTGGTTAGTGAGATCCCCTGAGGGAAGCTGGCCTTACCTCACCAACGAGCATCTCATAAATGAGCACACCCAGGCCCCACCAGTCCACTGCCCGTGTGTACGAGATATCCGTCAGCACTTCTGGGGCCAGAAATTCAGGAGTGCCACAGAAGGTGTTTGTCCGGTCTCCAAAACCTATTCCTGTAGGAAAAGGACACTTTGGTAAAATCCAACACAAGTTACTGAATGAATCTGATGTAATCTGGCTCCTCCTGGTGCAAACAAGCACATTTTAAATGCTTTCATAAGTCTCTTGAAGATTACACAACAAGGTATTCTTCCCAAATTCATCATGTCCAGATAAGTGATGGATTTTTTGTTGCTTGGATTTTTTATTTTATTTTTTTTAATGGGGATTAATACAAATTACACACAAACACCTGCTAAAGCCAAGATCCTAAACTGAACCTGATGGCTCAATTTCAGCTTCTCCAGCTACTCACCTTCCTTACACAATCCAAAATCTGCGATCTTCACAAATCCTTCAGCATCTAAAAGGAGGTTATCCAGTTTCAGGTCCCTGCATGCAAAGGAGATGAAAGAAAACAATGGATGAGGACTGAGAATTGCCACCCAATAGGGTTTTTTTTGTGAGAGGCAGAAGGTAGATGTTAATAAAGAGAATAAAATCTAGATGGAGTAAAGTCTACATTCGGTTTAATCATGCATTATGTGGAAGATTCCCCTTAACTGATATTTTCCCCTAAATGAAATGCTCACAAAGCAGCTTGGAGCTGGGTGGGGCTTATTAATCTGGAAAAGAGCTCCCACAAGAGCATGACAAATTACCTTACTATCCCAGTGAAAAAGAAAGCAGTGACTTACAGGTGCCCCCCAGAATGTATTGACATGTCACAGAGGATTAATCACCTGCAACATGCCAGATGAATAGCTTCTAGGTGACTTTCTCTACTGTGAGCACGATGAACATGCTGATAGTGACAGGGAAAAGAAAGATGGGCAGAAAGATTAGAAACCCCAGCAAGAGATTGAGCTCCAGACACAGCTACAGGAAAAAACAACCTTCGAGTTGCTGAACTGTCTTGAGTCTCTGCTGTATTACCTATAAACAATTTTCTTCTCATGCAAGAACTGGAGCCCCAAGACTACACAGGCTGTATAAAACCTAAAAGACAAAAATAGTTACCAGGCAATATATGAGATTCAAGTTAAAAATTTATAGTTCCTGGAGACAAGACTGATTCCAACTCACTGTGCCACATGCTCCGGAAAGACATCTTCATGTATGCGCATCATCAGATCCCCACCTGGAGTGTATTCCATCACAAAACAGGCATGATGAGGGGTCTGGAAACATGCAAACATGTTCACAAGGAATGGATGATCAGAAGAATTGACCACCTCAAATATTCGCTTCTCACAGTTCAAGCTGCCAGGATTCAAA